AAGACTCCAAAGAGTTTTAGGCGTAGATTTTACAAATGGATGCCCATTGATTTCTGACTTCAAATAGCCTCTGCATGACATTAAAGGTGCATTTATTCAGCTACTTGGCTCCAAGAATCCAACCAACATATAGTGCTCTTGTTTTACCTCTTTGCACTTAACCCTTGCCAGGAAATCTTACCAGGTTCACTTGTCAGCAAAACAGAGCACATTCTGTTTTTTAAATAAAGCATGCTAAAACTAAAACAATGAACAAATGTCAGTGCCATGAAGGCAGTTAAAGCAGTCCCTGAATGCAGCTCTTTGAGGTTTGCCCTCTATACAGAAACCAATTTTCACTAAGCAGCAAATTAGAGCATGGGGGAACCAACATTATTACATCTAACTGAAGATACAGAATAAATTTAGATGGGTGGAATTTATTGGATTACTCTGTTTAGGGAATAGAAGTTAAACACCTCTAACGAAGCCATGAGATTCTTAATGAAGATGAGACTAGTTAAGGCCTCAGTTCTACATCTCATCCCAAAGAAGCCCATTTCCAAGAACATTATTACATTCAAATTGAGATTTTCTCTTTTCTCCCTTCTGCCTTTTAAAACAAAATCCAAATGAACGCTCCAAGAAAACTTGCCTCTAAGCTGAATAATATAAACCACATCCCTGTGAGCTATGAGGGTATCAGCAACCTGCTCTCATGCTATGTTTGAAAAGACACATCTGAAAATTCACGTTGTTCATTTGCAAGGCATAAAAGCTACTTGTGATGCCAGCACCAAGTAAACAGAAAAGAACTGTCCCTGTTTCGTTGATCTGTATCGTATATCATAACAATATGCCTGTATTCCTCAAACACTGCATATCTGCTTCTCTGCCTAGTAGCAATCGTACATAACAAGTGATATCTAAATACATATTTTGGGAAAGATAAAAGCTCCAATATATGACAAGGAATATTATGACTAACAGAGAGATTATATTAATCATGAATAAAAAGATGATGTTTGATCCTACTTGTGCAGAAAGTTTAAAATTTTTTTTAAAAAATTCTTTTAAATGAATTTTTATCCTCAGGAAAATGATTAAAACCAGAAAAGCCTTGAGATGTCAGCTGGTGACATGTTTTTCTTCTTTATCTTTCTTTTTTGTTGTTGTTGCTGTGAAAAAAAAAAAATCTGAGCGAATACAGCAAAGTGCATCATTAACTTCTTATTAATTTTATAATACAAAGGCAATTCAGTTAAAATAGTAGTGCTGCAACTTTAAATTACAGAACTAGCTTGGTATTTAATGAGAGATTTAGCACAGCGGGGTTTCTGTTAAATTAAGTTGTGCCTTCACATCACAGTGGGAAAACAGGTGTATATTGGTTTAGAATTATGGAAATGTTGACTAATTCCAAGGCTTGTAATCAAACAGCACGGCACCCTGCAATATTTTCTTCCAAGATTCTGCATTAATCATTTATGTCTGGTCTTATTTTCTTCATGTCCACTAAAAGGGTGCAGCTCAAAGGAGCAGATCAAGAGCTGATGTTTTCATGTCTCTGTTAAGGATGAAGTTCAAGCAAAAAGCAGAGATAGAGACATAGCACTGCAGGCTTTGCTCAAAAACCTACTTAAATTAAACTGAACATGCAGTCTTGGAAGGGGGATGAATTTCACACTAAACCTCCACTTTTTTGGCTTCTCCAGTGCTGATCCAAAACCTGCTTACTGAGCTACCTGGAGCGAGCCTGCATTTAAGAAATGAAGAGACCAAACCCAGAAATAATCCAGGCTCTATCAATAATGAACACAGAGCTATTCTCCTCCACACCTCTGCAGCAGTGCAGGCCACACCTGAGTGCAGGTAAAACAGAGATGAGTTCCAGCAGCCACAGCATCCCTGCAGCCCCCTGCTCCTGCCTCTGCCAGCTTTCCTTACCTTACTCTAATAAATCACCTGCCTTTGCCTTGGATTTTCATCCTGGGCTATTTAAGGATGCCTCATCTGATGCATGGTGATATTACAGCAAAAGGGGAAGGCACGGATTCTTTTGTTTCCAGGAGACACCTTATTACTGAACCTCCTACTGACCATACCTCACTTACTGGAAGCAAGCTGACACTTGATGCCCAAATGAACCTAATCCAAATTCATCCCCTGTTGTAGCTCTGACAGAAGATTGCTTCCATTTGCTCTGAGACTATTTCACACACAGAACTATCCACTACTGATTCCTGCTTGTTTGGTAAAAGCTGCTTAGCAGGCAAGAGGAACAATACAGAAATTGCTAAAATTCATATAAGGAGAACCCTGCTAACGTGAAGTGTTTCCAGCATGTGTGCCACAACTTTAAAGAGTGCTTAAATGAAGTTATTTTGGGAATACACAGATGCAGCATAACAGTATCCCCATATATGCTGAATGTCAGCATGCTGCACGTGCAAAATATAGATTCTGTTATATAATATATGCTGAATCATTTTGAAAGACAAGTAGTAGAAATGTATTCAAGTTGCTTCTCTTTACTAGAGGCTTCCCTTTAAAAACGTAGGTATAACAACTTATCTCATAGTAAAATCTAAACATCTCTGGCTGTATCAGGAATATTTAAAAGCCAAAGCCCCAGAGTCATGGGAATGCAGTGTCCATATTTCCTTAAAAAAAAACTTTGTAACCTCACAGTCAGGACAGGAAAAACCAGCTTAGAAAGATAAATTTTAAATGACAAAGAGCTAGAGAGGGCTTTAGGGAAAAAAACCTATATTTTTGAACCTTACTTTAAAATAACATCAAAAGATACACTAGCATTTTTAACTGCTGCCTGCTCATTAGCTGTGCAAAAGTCAGGGAGAAAATGATGCCCTGCTCAAGTAAGATGCAATGCAGAGCTGCCAGCTTTGCTACCTGTATGTGAGGAAGCCAGAGAGGGAAATTGCCCCTCTGAGTCACCCACTGGGATAAATAACATCTCTCAGAACACAGCAAGCAGCCTGGGGGACTCAAGGAAGAACAGAGAAAACTAAAAGCAGCTGAAGGAGCTTGGTTTGTTTAGCCTGGAGAAAAAGAGGCTTGGGGTGACCTTACCACTCTCTTCAACTCCCTGACAGGAGGGTTTAGCCAGATGGGGGTCAGGCTCTGCCCCCAGGCAACAGGATGAGAAGACATGTCCTCAAGCTGCACCAGGGGAGGTTCAGGTTGGACATGAGAATGAACTTCTTCACTAAAAGAGTGGTCAAGCTTTGGCTGCCCAGGGAAGTGGTGGAGTCGTCATGCTTAGAAGTGTTAAAAAACCCAAATGGATGTGGCACTTAGTGCTGTGATTTAATTGACATTGTGGTTTTTGGTGAAATGTTGTACTCAATGACCTTGGAGATCTTTTCCAACCCTTACGACTCTGTGATTGTATGATTCTAAACAGATCCTGTCTACTTCTACGGGAGGTGATGAGTAGATCTTGTGGTAGGGCTTGAGGGATGCTATTTGGGCAGGGTGCTGCTCCAGCAGCTTGGGATCATCTCCATCCCACCCAGCCAGTCCACAGAGCCATTTGTCTCAAAGCATGGCAGAGAGCAATCACTGTGAGTTGGTTTAGGTGCAACATTGACTGGGGTTAGAGAGCTCTCATCCAAGGGCTTGGCATTTTCTGGCAGTAGGAAAGGGAACAAACAACTGGGACTGCAGAGGCAGAGGATGCTGAGGTTCACCCTGAGCTCCAAAGAGGTCTCAAAGGGAATTGTCCTTCAGAGCCTTCCTTTCTCTCTCGAGGATGGCACATCCATCCTCTACGCTCTAAAGTGGTGAGACTCCCACTGGGAGGCTTGTAAGGTCTTGGTACTGTCCCTTGCAAGGGCCAGTTGCTGGAAAACATCACTTGAAGAGGCACAACTTTTTTCCTGCTTCCTACCTTTGCAGATTTCCCACTACCATTCCCAGTATTTTCATTGGAAATGACAGAGGACTCCCATTTTAGCTTTAGCAGGGCTCGTAGGAAACTGTCCCACGACAGCACCTCTATGCTGGCCATTTCCATGACACATGAGGTGGATTCCCTGACAGGAAATCACTTGCATAAAGTGAACTGGCCAGATATAATTTTTCAAACACAGAGTGTCCATTTTCACACACACCATATAGGAACTAAAGGAGATATTTGCCTTATAACTGTCAGTCCAGGCAATGCTCTATTTATTTACACAGTGTATTTATTTTTTTTCATGTCTGTAACCAGACACTACAAACATATACTTGAACACTTCTCCTCCATCAAGAGGGAATATACCTCCATCCTTTATATTTTTTCTCTTCCATCCTCAAAGAATACAGCAGAAAAAATGAAAATGGTGGTACAAGAAGATTTCAGAGTTTAGACATGCAATTACCAGTGATATACTTCTCTCTAGCCCTGTAATTTAAATATAAAATACCACAGGAAAAATGCAAGATACAGTTTGTACAACACAATCACAACTGTTCTGAATGCTGGTGCCAGTGAGAGCAGGTGGTGAGGAGAGGTGATGTCAGGAGACAGGATGATCCTGTGCAAGCAGCTACATGGTACCACACTCCCCAACACCCTGAGATGTGCAGCCAGTACATTCAAGTTGTTTAGAAACCATGTGGATAAAGGCTACATTTAACAAACTTTGGCTGTGTTTTGTTTTTTCTTCTTTTCTCCATTTTCAAACATGAAACCGCAGTGGTGCAGTGTTTTCTGCCATATGTTTTCTCTCCTCCCTCCCTCCCTCCCCCTTAAATACATTTTAAAAAATATCCACATTGTACTTTGGCCACTGTCTCTACTCAGCAGGAATCAGTACCCTTTCCAGAGAACAGCAGCTGCCTTTGGACATGATGCCATTGCTACAGGACTGGCACCAACACAGGACAGACCATCAGCTTAGCCACCCTCCTTGCAGAGATCAAGATCATTTGGGGCACCAAGCTGCATTGAGAGCAAAAGGGCTATTCTTCTGGCAATAAAATAATTAGGATCAAAAAGTAAATGTACTCACCCCAGGTAAAGTTTTAATATTGTGCAGTGCATTCTGTGCCTCAAGAGCAGCTTTTCTTGTATAAAATGTTACGAAACAACAACCTATAGAGAGAAATGAAAAGCTTTCAGAAATTAGTGAGTATGATTTGTGAGAGTACAATAGGGAGAGAGAAAAAAACAGTGGTTGAACAACACATTATGAAAGCTGGAAATGTGAATTATCCTGAGGCGCCTGAATGACATGAATAAAAGAAAGCTTGTATGATTTAAAATAAAAAGTCCCCCCCTGTGCATTGCATCTATAGCACACCTGCATTGTTAGTGAACTGTAATCACTTAGAAATTGTTAACCAAAATCCAATTGGCTTTGTACATTGTAAATAAGGTTATATTTTTCTGAAGGCTCCCCATTATACTTTGAATATAAGCAACATGGCAGGCTCAAGCAGCAGGAATTCATTGTTACATTCCAAGCAGAAAATCAGGCTAAAGCAGGACCTTATTTAAAGGGCCTTATACAAAAGAGCTAAGGTTGGTTCCCCCACTTCTTTGAAACCAGGCAGGACTGGAGGTGGAACACTCATCTCAGTTTCAAGAATGAAAAACAAGCTACAGGTGAATTCACCACTGCTGGGATAGTGGAGGCTGCTGATGGCTGACAGCATTAAGGGAGTCTCTGCTCTCCCTGCACCTGCTGAATTTTCAGTAAAGCAGGTGGTTTTAGTTGCCTTAATCCTGTGGTTTCCCTTTTGACAGCATGGTCCAGCCAGGTGTGTGTGGGACCAAACTTGGGTTGCTATCACTTTGTCCATTGCAAACACGTAAAGCAGCCTTTGCTGCAGCACACACAACCCAGGCAGCTTCTCCAGCCCCAGGATGAGGTCAGGGCTCACAGGCAGATCCTCAGGGAAGAGCTATGATGTCACAGGCAGGGGACAAAAAAGCTAGGACCAGGGTTTGCCTGTAATGCCCCACAGCAATGAAGTCTGCTCCTTGACAGATGAGATGTGTGCTGCTGATGGGGTATTTGGTGCTATGGGGAGAGGCAAACCATTCTGGGCAATGCTGGCTGGGGGGCAGAAGTGGCTCCTGAAGTAAAATCTGCTACACATGAAAGAGGATGATGCAGGTCTTACTGATGAATCAGAAAACAATCCTGTTCTCTTAATCACAGTCAGAGATTTGTTACAACTCCAGAGAAATGTCAAAACCAATCAGTAAATAAAAGAAACCCCAGCTCATGAGTCGTGGTGCTCCCTTGGAGTGTGACACAGATAAAATAATCTGTGCTTCAGGCAGTGAGCAAAGCTTGTATCAGCTCCCTAATGTTGGCCAAGGTGAAACATCCCAGCCCACCTGACATTCCTGCTTGTGTTCAACCCTGCAGCATCCCGGTAGTGGCAAAGGACACAAAGGAGAAGGTGTGCACAGCAGCCCACAGCAGACACTGGAAGCAGCCATGTGGAGGTGGCCCACTTTGGAAAGAAGGGCTGAATCCAGAATGGCCCCTCCACTGCCCCTTGCTTGGCTCAAGCTGCGCATGGCATTGGGAATGCTCCCTCTGGCTCTGCAGCCAGGCCAGTGACAACCATTACCTCGGTAACAAGCAAAGGTGACCATGTATTGCCAGCTGGAACACAGCAAGTTTATCCCTAATACACAAAACCACTTGCAGGCACAGCTAAACATGGGCAGGCAGGTAATGCAGACTTAACACAGCTGAGAGAAACATTTTTCATACTGCCAACAGGTTCTTTAAAATTTCACACTTTACGATGGAGATGGTTTAATAATTACTTCAGTAAGCAGGACATCATTTGCAGGGATCTATGCTAGAGACAGGCACAGCCTGTTAAGGTTTGTGCTTCCTGTGTTTCTAAAACTTCTGTTTCACTGGAAAATTCTGAATATCTGAATTATTTTACCCCAGATGAAAATGAGAAAAAAATTCCAAGTTTGTGACATTTAATAGTGTGATTTTGAGACAGTATGGCAATATTTTTCTATCCTGTCAGCCAGCTCCAAGTCTATCTCCTATTGTTTCTTTGTTTGGTTTGTTAGCTTTTTAATATAAGGCTTTTTAACCAGCAGAGAGGATTCAGAGGGGAAAATATCAAACTGTAATCACAACTTTGCAATGGCCATGTCCTTTTCCATGGGCCTGAAGAGTTTTATTTTAGATTTCAGCTCAGGGGGTTCATTCTGATAAGGAGAAATTTAAAATCTATTGGTTTATCATTCTTGGCACTACTTGAAAGAACTGCACTTGAAAGATGAATATGCTGTGAAATACCCTTTAACTGGTCATTTTTTGGGAAGTAATAGCTCAGGAGAGAAAAATGTTTCTGTGAATGAGGGCCGGAAGAAACAGTAGCTTAATGGGAAATGTGCAGATGTTTCAGGCAGGTCATTGGACCTTGACAAAAATAGAGACTTCTGAGCTCACAGACTGACACATCTGAAAATGCATATGGATAAATTTTTTTCTCAGGATGCATTTGGCTCATATCTTCTTAAATAAAACAAACCCCACAACAAGAGCTGGTTTGCTGTGATTTGAGGGGGGCATGGACCCCCACTTGTGGACACCTGAATTTGAAGGTATCTGCTACAGAGGTCAGGGCTGGACTCAAAAAAGAAAATATGGCAACAGAGAGGAACAGAAAAAGCAATAGTCCATGTTTCCCCAAGGAAATACTGTAGCTTAGCCTATGGATTTTCCAGAGGTGCTGCAGCCAGGTTACACAAGTTGTATTGAAGATGCCTCCAGTGCAAAATCCTTTTGGGTCAGTACACATTAAAAGTACCTAATTCAGTTTTTTTCTGCAGGAATAATGGAGGGGAAGATGCCTGTGTAATAGGACAGGGCTAATCTGTGCTTTAGGACTGGTAGCTGTCCCCTGCTGAAAGGCAAAGAGGCAACGACCTTCCTTCCTCCATTTCACTAAAAAAAATGTAATATTGCCAAAGACAAACAAGTGGCCCAGCTGGAAAAGAAAAAATATGTTTCCTACTGAAAGAAAATGAAAAAATACAACCCTTCCCTTCAGGTCCCATGCACATATAATTGTTTCATCACCAACAAACTCGACAGCAGCTTGAACCACAGCTAGACTTTTCTGACATCCAAATAACTCAGGGCCTGGCAGTGATAACCTTCTCCTCTCCTAGTCAGGACAGCTTAAAAGGTGAATTGGTCTGTGGACATGGTTCTGCCAGTCCTCAACAGCCTGAAATACAGCCCAGTTTAGCTCCACATGGGTTAGTGTATTCTTGCCCACAGGCAGAGGATCTCATCCTGCCAGTCAGTGCCTCCAGAGCAGCAAATCTCCCACGCTCTGCTAAGCTGGTTGTGCTCTACTTGGAACAGTATTTACTACAGCGTAAGGCATTTCTTCTTTGTACCTTGAAAAAAATACTGAATGAATCATGCAGATCCCTACAGTCCCTTAAGGACATCGGCAACAACTTCATGGCTATCCTGCCAGATGCTTGAACAGACTGAATAAAACCTGCCACTCCATGCTGCTCGGTGTTTAATGGCAACAAATGGGATGCCTGACTAACAGCAGCAGAAAACAGCCCTGCTTCTTAAGGCATCCGATGAGCAAACGCTGCAGTGTGGACACTACAATGTTCAACACCTCATTAAAAAAAGGGAAAAGATCTCTTACTTCAGCTTGTTTTCACTCTCTCTTTCTCTCTCTCTTTTCCCCCCTCCCCCGCCCCCCCTTCCCCTTTTTTTCTTTTTTCAAAGCAAATTTAGTGCCAGAGAAAGACCTCAAGGTCCCAGCCATTGGGAGAGAGTTGACACATTCAATTCTCCATGACACATTCAATTCACAAGCCCTTGCTCAGGCTGCCAAAGGCACCAATTAGCACCACTGGTAGAGATTTTATTTATTTAATTTCCACAGAAACCTGTTTAGCAAGACAGTGACAGGGACAAACAGCCTCATGTATGGCTAGAAACAGCTTTACATGAGTCACTGTCAAAGATGGCAGCAATGGATTACGGGGGAATCCAGCCATGGGTTCACTGAAGCCATCATTTAGAAGTGAGGAATGGGAAAAAGATCAAGTGATGAGGACTTTCACACCACAGTAGCCATGGTTTTCTGCTAGCAGTGAACTTGGGTTTCTGGAGGACTTTGTGGAACTATGACAAATTGCAGTTTTCACCATGGAACTTCAAGACTTGCCATTCCTCTTGTAAGCAAGAGAATTTTTTCAAAGAGCTGCTTGTGACCCCATGCAATGGGGCTTCTCCTGCCATGTGACTTCTGCTCTATGACCTGAATTTCCCTCCCAGCAGAGCAGTCACAGCTTTGTTGGGCTGCAAGATCCAGCTCTATGACATCTCCAGGAGCTCTGCCATGCCATTATTTTTGTCACTTTCTCCCAATTCAAACACAGACTAATTATGCTGTGAGAGCTGTTTACATTCCTAATTTTGAGTAAGTAACACAGGGAAGCTCTCCTCCACTTGAAGATGTGGCTTACACAGTCCTTGTTGGCATTTAATGGCACTGGGATCTGTGTAAGAGGCTTAATCTCTCAGCCAGGATTTCATGCCTGAGTGAATATGGACACCTCCATCTTGCTTCGGGTGAGAAAAAGTCTTTTACAGCTCCCTAAACTGAATAGACAATTCCTGTGTTAAAGTTACCAGGAATTACACATGTGCATCTATATGAGAAAATAACCCTTGGATGTGGACAGGAATTAAAACACGCTCCACAAGATGCTCTAAGGTTTTGATTTGCTTGAAGAAAAATATTCTGCAATCTCCCAGGCCCAAAAATTTAACTTTTGGGAAATAAAAAAGATAGAGGAGGTAAAAAAAAAGCTCAACCCATATTTATTGGTCTGATATATTAGTTTCTTTAGTTTTCAACTGTCAAAATGTGTCAGTTTGGATCTCTCCTGTGTTGTGCATATTATCACCTGCTGCCAGTACCTGAACCCTAACCATGGGGTATAGAAATACAAGAGCTTATCAGGGCGCCTGCAAAGCCTGCAACAACTTAAAAGTATGAAATTTGCTTTACCTTCTAGACTAATAAAATAAACACTTCAAAACAGCTATAATGATTATCTGA